TTACAGAATAAAAAAAAGTTGTATATTTCTTGAAATATTTAATTGTTTGCAATTCGCAGTGAAAATTCTTTCATATACTGAGTATTAGTGACAGTGTAACAGCCGTGCTCAAACCATTCGTTTTCACGTTGATTACAGAACGTTAAAAATGGCAGAGCATTTTTTGGACAAAAAGTAAGTTTTATGATTCAAATGTAAAAAATAACAATAATACAAACGTCTTTTTCAGTTTTTTACTTTTTAAATTATTAGGTGTGTATAATATATTTATTTGTTAACATTTTTTCTGCCAAGTTAGGCTTTTTTATGAATATTTTTAGGTTATCCATAAAATGGGATGATGAAAAAGATATTCTCATGTTAAGAGAAATAGCTGAAAACGAAGAACTTTTTCACAAACAAAGAAGTAGAGAGGGCAGACAAGGATGGTCAGCTGTTGCAGATGTTTTAAATACTCTAGACATTTTTCCAACTGTTGCTGCACTTTGAGGTGTACGTGAAAGATTTATGTTTTTGTTAAAAAAAAGTATAAAGTAAAAGCTAACAAAGCAAATTTAGCATCAGAACTTAAAGGTGGCAGTCCTACAGAATCAGAAAGCCTAATAGAAGAATTGTATAATATTTTTATAAATACAGAAATTAAAAATGACAATGAGTCACAAGGGAAGAAACTTGTAAATGAAGCTGAAAAAAATAAAGCAGTAGAAATGCTGACAAAGGCCATGGAAAGATTTCTGAACTCGAAAACGAAACAATGAGAACAACGTAAGTCCAAAAAAAAAAAATCAAAGAAGCAGTTCAGACACACTTTTGTTTCTTAAGGCAAAATTGGAAAACGATAAAGAAAATGAAAAACTAGGGAGAGAGCGAATTGCTTTTGGATATGAACTTCTAAGACAACAGATGCTTGCCATGATGGTTCAACATAGGGTTTGCGAAAACCCGGAAAATTTCTGTTCCCGGGATTTGGGGTTGTATAATTAATTCTCGAAATTTCCCGAGAAATCCCAGCATTCTGTTATGCTTTAAAACTGAAAGTAAAACTACAATTTAAGTAAGTATTTTGTCGTAAAATGAATAAAAGTTGTACATAAAAGTTTATTTTATAAAACTATCTAAACTATCATCACTTAAGCGTCTTTTTATTTTATTACAAAATAGTCCTGCGGAGGAAAATGCTCTTTCTGATTCTAGGCTCGTTTGTTTAATCGTTATTAAAAAATCATAAACTTTCTGAAGAATATCACCCCGAGTACAACCACTTTCAAACAATGACATTTCATTTGATAATTTAGAAGTGAAAGTTTTGCCTAATCTTGACAAAGAACTTTTGGGTGCTGCTAGAAAACCTTGTTCTAGGGCTTCATTTAGCTGCTCACTAATAGTTTTCGGCATTTTATTATCTGCGCTTTTAGGTATTTCATCATTTTCTTGACTTACTAAATCTTCAACGTTGTCCAAGGAAATTGTTGGGAGATTTATATTTGTTACATTTAATCTACTTCACCTATGGACATTAATTTGTTTTCTCATTTAAGTAGATAGTGCAGTAGACTACTTAATTCAGTCCTTCGCTTTTTTGATTCTGAAGGCTAATGGATTAAAAAGTTGAAAACTTGTTGTATTTTTCAGCTCTTTTAATTTAGTTAGCATAAACTGTAACACAATATCAGTATTTTATCAGTGTATGGAGATTTAGCTATGTTGACAAATCGCCTTATAGCCAGTCCAGCACGTATCTCAATAGAAGTGCATATTTTGTTAAAAGAAATTCCATTTTCAGCTGTTAATCTTGCAAGCATCTCAAACAAGCTGTCTTCTTTATTCTTATTTGATGAAAAATAAGAACTAATTAAACTTTTTTTACTCTGTGGTTCTTTTTCCAAAGTCGAAGAACGCGTCCCCAGTTCTGCTTCACAAATGCTAAACCTCTTCTAAAAAGCATGAGGGAAGTTGATATTTATGAACTAAATATTTTCAAAATTACACAATTTATGTTTCATCTTCAACCAAAAAAGAAACCAAAGGTTTTGAAAATATTTTCCCTAAAACATTAAATCGATTCAACACTCGATCTACCGAAAGATTTAAAACACATTTCCGTACATCAAAACTTACGAGCTTTGCCATTTCCTATCGTGGCCAATACTATGGAGGAGTAAACTTAAAGAAGCATACCTTTCAAAAATTTAAAAAGGACACAATCAAACTTGTTGCCAATCAGGTTTCTCTACATTTTTTTTTTAACAATAAACTTTTATTTCTAATTTTTATTACCGATGGTTACTGATGAAAAGATTTTATCTTCTTCAGGTTCTCCGGTCTCGTAACTACTATAAATAATGAAATGTACTTGAATTTAATACTTTTAAATATTTTATTATTTATTTTTAATTTTATTTATTTATTTTTAATTTTAAATGGTTGCTTGACAAAAATAAATAAACAAATAAATAAATAAATTGTACCAAAAAAAAAATAATAATAACCCACGCTTGTGCGTTTGTTTTAAATAAGACTTTCTAAAGGTAAATACAGCTTTTGAAACTTTAAATGTTGTAATTACCTGAAAAAAGTAAAGTACATTTGAAATTTTTTTCAATAATAAAATAACAAAAAATTTAATTTACTCACGGTACTTAGGCATCCTAAGGTATTTATTACCTTCAAAAGTATAACCAACCGAGACATAGTGTGACGTAAAACATTTAAGGGTTGAAACGAAATTAAAATATGTCACAAGTATAGTTTTTTTTTAGGTTGCATTACGTTTCCTTTTTTTTTTAAAGGGTAACTGATTGAGATGTAACATAACGTAAAAAAAATCAATGTTTAAAACGTATTTTAGTTACGTCTCAAATCTAGATTGAGAAAAATTATGCTACGTCTCAATTGGTTACACTTTATATAGCTAAAAGAAAACAATTGAGAAGTAACTTTGCGTATTAAGACTTTTTTTTTTTGGGTCAAAGTAATCAATTGAGACGAAGCTGTTTTCTATAAAACTAAAATAACAGATAATTTTTAGCAATACGGCAATAATAAACAAACTATTACTGCGCTATCAAGTTTATTTACTTAATATTTAATTAAAAAATAGAGAATGTAACCTTGTTACCAATTGTAACCAATTGAGACGTTACGTAACTTAAGAATGTTATAGGGGATAAATAATCAAACCCTTATAACATTTTAAAGTTACGTTACGTAGTGTAACGCAATCGGGATTCGTTACGTTACGTGCAAAATGTCCGTTATTTTTACGTAACCGTGACTTAACATTGTAACGTAACGCTTCATGAAAAATGTTACGTAACAACAAGTAACATTTTGACCTAATGTCACGTAACATTGTTACCTATAGTATCTATCATTATAATTTTTTTTTTATTTTTTCATATGTTCATTTGAATATATATATATATATATATATATATATGGAGATAGAGAGCTACAGATAATTATCATCGTTTATTTTATATGTAAAATAAATTCGTCTAAATTAATTTTTTTTTGTAACTAACTTGTCTCAAAAGAAAAAAAAATAGTATCAATTTGCAAACTCTCAATTATTTTACTTAAACTTGTAAAAGTGCAACTTTTAAATAGTGTAAAGTGAAACGTAACTTAACATTAAAATAATTTTTTATTTGAGAAGTATTTTAACTACGTTTAATATCTTGATTTTTTTATGTTACGTTGCGTTTTTTTTTTTGGTCAATTATACAAGCGTAATGCTTCACGAGTTTTCTATAAACTTACAAGCAAAAATTTGTATAACATGTTAACCTTTCTTATGACATAAATTGAAAATATTTCATACATTATTTATATCAAACTAATTAAGTGTGCCTTCTAACATCGTGTGCAATCCTGTCCACTTTCTCTATTCCATCTTTCTAACTCTTCTAATTTTGTCTTTCACTCTAACATATCTTTGTTCTTCCCAAACTCACCTTACTCTTGGTCTGTAGAGAAGGTTATGACGCTCCTTGGGGAGCCGAGCTTGTCTTGGCGGGCCTTGGTAATGAGGCCTCTGTATAGCAACTAGCCAGATGAGGATAAACCACAATAACAGCTAATTAAGTGTATAGTTTTCCCAGCCGGCAAATAACGTTGAAATAACGTTGAAATATCGTTGAAACCTAACGTTGAATTAACGTTGGTTTAACATTTAGAATGAAAGTTTTTTTCAACGTTGATTTATCAACGTTAAATCAACGTTAGGTTCAAACGTTATATCAACGTTGATTCGACGCGAAAAAACGTTACAATAACGTTGAATTTACGTTGATTTAACGTTTAGAATGAAAGTTTTTTTCAACGTTGATTTATCAACGTTAAATCAACGTTAGGTTCAAACGTTATATTAACGTTGATTCGACGCGAAAAAACGTTACAACAACGTTGAATTTACGTTGATACAACGTTTATGATAGTGTTTAACGTTGATTTATCAACGTTAAACGACTGTAAAACACTTTTTCACCATCAAAACGTGCTATGTATGTCAAAATGTATATATGTATGTAAACGTGCTAAGTGCGTCAAAATATGATCACCATCAAAACGTACTATGCATGTACATTAGTGTTGCTGTTTATTATCAAGGTATATTATGAATATTAAATCTATTCATAGTCTATACTTAGACTATTAAGAACTTTTTCAGTTTAGTTTAGTTAAAAAAGCTAGGTATGATTAAAGAAAGAGATAAAACTTTTTATATTTAAGAATACATATTCAAATATTACATATATTTACATGTATTTGAATAAAATCTACACAAATTTCTTCTCTTTTCCACCACCTTTTTGAAAAAAAGCGCAATTTAGAAAGTCAAACAATGTTCCATTAACCGAGGGTTCTTTTGGTCCATTGAATACAATAGAAGAAGCTGTAAATAAAAAAAATATATTAAAAAAATCAAAAAGGGAAGATTTAAAAAATAAATAATGAATGGAAAAGTGTTACATCTTATGAAGGCACATCTTTTTCAACGCCATATAGATTAGTGTTCTTAAAACATATTTTTCCACCTTTGCCCTTCATATCCATAGAGACCATATAACTTTTCGAAAATACTCTGAATTTTAAAAAAATAATATAACTGTTAGTTGGTTATTAATAACTTTTTCAAATATTTAATTTAAATAAAACAACCTTTTTAATATATTAAAAATAAATTGGTAGTCAAAATATAAAACATTTCTAGCATTTAAAAATAATTTTCGGGGTGGCCACATAAAATTTTTATAAGAAATTTTATGTGACCATTTATTAATGGTTTAACGTCCATGTTTATACACTTATGGGGCTGGGACAGGAATCAAATAATGTCATTTATTATGTTAAATGGCATGCATTTTCTAAAGCAATTTTTTACATTTCATGCACTTCAAGGCGTTAACCAGTTTTGCAGACTGAGAATGGGTATTTTGAACATAATACTTCCATCAAAAATTAAAAAAGGAAGAATTAATGAGGAGCTTTGTTCAAATTTTTACCTCTTTAGAGGATAATAGAGGATTTTAGAAGTGGTTTTAAAATAAAGAGGACTTTAGAGGATTATAGAGGAGCTGCAGACACCCTAATTATAAATGAGGTAAGAGTCCAATACTGTTTTTGATTACCTCAGCATAATTTTGTGTATTCTATCTTTAGAAGACGTTCCACCAATTAACTAATTAATTTATCTGTAATTGATTTATCTGTAAAAAACATGAAGTAAATCTAATATTATGCTTGTGGAGATATATTATATTGTGGAGAACCATCCAAACCACACAAATGGAAAATTTGCATCCAAGTTTCCACTTGTGTGCAATCTTGCATCCACTTGTCAACATTCTCATTATCACATTTTTCTTTTGTAGTTGTGAATTTCAAATTTTCACAATACAGTTTGCTTTCTTTTAGAATTGAAATAGTCATACAAATAGTTATATATTTTGTATCAAAAAAATAACTTTTTTTACCACATTATTTAAAATATAAAAACTGTAAAATATAGATGTAATACCTGAAGAGAATTTAGTTTTTATTTGTATAAACTTAAGCCAATTCTTCTCTGCATTTTAGTGCAGTCAATGCTTTGGTAGCTGGAAGCCGACAAACAATTTTATCACTAATTCAATTAGATGGAATTACTTCTTCTTGTAAATCTTCATTCCAAACAGCTCCTTTCCGCATATTCGATTTTGAAAAAATTACATGAACTAATATAAAATGAAGAAACTGTATTATCAGTGTACTAACAGGCCTAATTAAACTAGCTAAATTTGAACATTTTATTACCATGATACTTGCTAAACAATAATATTAGTAGACATTATAAGCAAAGATAAGATTTTCTTTATTTTATAAATTTATTATATTTTAAAGTCATTTTTATTAATTTATTTATTACTCTATTATTCAGCAGAGTCTAAATATATCATGTTCAAATAACTTAAGGCTCAATAACAAAGACAAATAATGAAAGAATACTAGGTTGCTAAAACATAAACATCTACATAAGATAATTATGGAATATTGAAAAAAAATAGAAATACAAAAAAACAAAAATACTCATTATTAATATAAAATATAATAGTATAATTTAAGGTATATTATAATATATGACACAATAATATCGACTTTAAATTAAAATATAAAAACAACAAAAATTAAAAAAGAAAATATTTTGATAAATAATAAATTATCATTCAAACAATTTTCAAGATCAAAAAATAACTTGTAACTTATTTTTTTACTTATCTTTATCTAATAAACATTACTTATTTTTTATTAATTAGAAAAAAAAAAAAACACAAGGAGAAATTTTCGAATATATAAAAAATTAGAATTAAAAAGTTTTTCATATCTTATAAAGGTATACCTTTCACTACACCATATAAATTAGTGCTCTTAAAGCATATTTCCACCTTTCCCCTTCATATTTATGGAGATCACAAAATTGTTGGAAAATATTCTAAATTTTAATAGATAAGAGAACTGATATTAATTTTTTTTTTTTAATTTAAATTGAACTCATTATCAAACAATTTTTTTGCTAAATAATTTATTCCTTAAAATTCCTGAATAATTAAAAATTATTATAATTACCTCAGCATTTTAAAGATATTCCATCAATTGCAATTGATTCACCTAAAAAACAACAACAAGTAAAGCAAATATTATTGTTTGAAATTTTAATTATCTTTATACAAATACTCATCATATTTTTAAAGAGACTGATGAAAATGGATTCAATTAAAATCACTTTATTTGCATTAAAAAATTAATATTAAAGCCTTAATCATACATTATACAAGAGTATTTTGTAATACAATCTAAATAATTGTTGCAAAATGTAATTTTTTTATCCGAAATTTAGCTTCTGTAAGCTTTAGAAATTTTTTAAAGAAATTATTGATGAATTTGGAGCTACGGGTACAAATGTTTTTATATTGCTGAAATGTTTGTATTCATTCTCTGTTAGTTTCTGTAAGACAAAATTTTAAGGTGATGCCATAATAAATTCTGTTATATCTAAAATTTAGTGTTAGTCTGAATAATTTACTTTCTAAAATCTGTTTTGCATTGCCTGTCTTATTACATCTTTACTTGGAACAAAAACCATGTGGTTTAAAATTGAGCTAGAAGCTTTCAACAATGAAGAAAATACTGCATTTGCTAATCCTAAAAATATATTAAACCTGTCAGCAAAATCAGCTGTCAATAATCCAAGTATTAGCATCATTAAAAATTCATCTTTGAAGCATTATATTTATTTTGGTCCAAGTAGTTAAGGATTTTTTTCAATTTCAAAAAACAGAAGTAAATGTTTTTTTTAATATCACTTTATCTCTTTTGATTAATGGTGATCAAAAACTAACTTCACTAACTGATGAAACACATTGACAGATGTAAGCCCAGTAGAAAAGTCGCAAGATCTATTATTTTTAAAATAAATGCTTGTATACAAGTAAACTGCAATAACACGATTTGTTTGGATTATGTTTATATACAAATTTGTCTGTTTTCATAGTAATAACTGATGTGGTTGAAGTTAATTTTTCATATAAATCTTTATTTTTTTATTTCGTGCTGAAGTTCTTTTTTAAAGTTATCAATTTCCTTTTTAAATTCTTGATGCTCTATTAAAAAACAACGCTTAGCATTAAATTCAACATAATTTAATGGGTCATTTTTTGAAAAAGCTGTATTATATTTACATTTAATAATATAAGTCTTTGAGCATTGTAGCCCAAGTTAAACGAAAAATATCGATTTTTAAACGATAATGTTCTTTCAGGAAAGTTGTCTGAACATGTTTTCGATCTCTTGAAAATTCTATATGATACAAGGTCAGTATTTACATTTTTTTTCATTATAAATCTCTATAACTTTAAATGTTTACGATTTTACTTCCATTTCTGCGCGCGCATAAATTTTATATCGTATTTTTTGTCAACAATGATTTAAATAATGACGTTAAAATAACGTTAAATAATCAACGTTTAAACTGTAACGTTGATTTAACGTTGAAATAACGTTAAATAATCAACGTTTAAACGGTAACGTTGATTTAACGTTGTGACATAGTTGAACAATGTTGAATCAACGCTTCAACCGAATTTCAACGTTGAAACAACGTAATAATGCCGGCTGGGTTCACTTTCTGTTCACACTCTCTTATTTATCTCTCTGACCTTACTACACTTTTTTACTAAGTCATGGTTTTCAGAATGTTCATAGGTCAGAATGTTACGTGTTGTTACGTAACATTTTGCAAGTAGCGTTACGTTACAGTGTTACGTTACATTTTGCACGTAACGTAACAAATCTTGTTTATGTTGCAATATGTAACGTAACTTTAAATTGTTATAGAGGAATGTTTAAAGATAACACATTTCTATCAAGTACTTAAAAAAAAGTTATAAATAAATTGATATAATCTTTTTAACAGAGTAATGTTATATATTCAAGGTAGTTATTATTAATTATTGACAAAATATAATTATCATCATTTAGTCAAAAAAACAATTACAATTAATTTAAAAAATTATAAAACTTTTATATAAAAAAATCTCATAATATTGAAAACATTATAAAGCCTGTTTGTGTGTATGTATGTATGTTTGTATGTAAGTATGTTTGTATGTATATTTATATATACATACATATATGCACACAAAAACATTACAAACATTAAAATATTATTATGGAGAAAAAAATTCGCTAAACAAAAAATTCTGAAAAATTAAAGCCCATTTTTTAACAAAATTTATCATCAAAAGCATAAATTGTTAGCTAAAAACAACAGAGTATATATAATTTAAACAACTTTTTTTTTCGATTAACAAAGTACAAGTTGTTACAAAAAAAGGACAGAGTATAAATCTTTTAAACAAAATTTACTTAAAAAGCAACAGTATATAAATATTAATTCAAATGTATATCTTTTTAACAAAGATTACTGAAATAATAAATATTATAAAAATTGTAAATATTAAAAAACTATAAATGTTTCTTGCATTTCTTTCAAACACATTTTTTTAAAAAAAAATTTTAACACATTTTATGATTACACTAACTACAAACACATTAAATTTATGAGTTTCATCATAACAATACGCCACTTAACTGGCACGGACAACATTTTTGCTGTAAACTAAGCTAAATCAAAACAATTTGAAACCATACAAACAACATTATAATCACTTAAAAACTAAACATATAACATTATAACACATCACTAGTGGCGGAATAAGACTTCTCGGGGCCCGGGGCTATTTTTGTATTTGGAGGCCTTTTTATGGGCCAGAGCCTAAAATTGACTAAATTTTAGGCTCTGGCCCCTCCTGCACTGCACATCACAAACATAAAAATACTTCATATATAAAAGATATTTACAAACTAACAAAATATAAACCCATAAAACTTTAACACATGTAAACACTTAACAAATAACACACAAATAAAAATATGTATATAAACTAAGAAAAATATATAAATAAAAAACTTTACTAACATAACCTTTTTTTAACTTCTTAAAAATAAGGTATTTCACAACCTTGTTCTTCAACATGTAACATTAAGCTGACCGTAAGAGATGCAAGGATTTTAGAGGTAAACACTAATTTTATAATGAGTTTTACCTCTTGACCCTTAAAAAGAGCAACGTCCTCTAGATTCTTCGTTCTGGTCTTCTAATTTAAAAGTTAAGAATTGCAGAATAATATAACTTAAATACAATTGACAAAGGATTTGAATTGCGTTATTATTACAATGCATGAATTAAATAAATTTGTTTTAAAAGTTGTCTTTATAACATGACTTTAAAAGTTACTATACTAATTAAAAAATAAATTAGTTTTATGCTTTACAGCAGAAGTCTTCAAATTAAAGAATTGTCGATCTTATCACTGATTAAGCTGAAGAAGCAAATATTTCAGTCTTATTACTTATTAAAAAGATTATAACTGATTATTAAGATTTAAGAGTACCTCATCGCATGGTCAAAAATATATAAATAAAAATATTAAAAGCCCAAGCATGCCTGTAAGACTTTGTGTAAACACGGACGAATGGGTAACAGCAGTATTAAATTAAGCAGTAATATGTAGTGAAACGTATTAAGTTAAGCAGTAATATGTATGAAACGTCGTGTAATAGCATATATGTTTTATTCTCTTTTCTGAATAAATCATATAAATACGTAAAAATCACACGATTTTTTAAATTTAACAAAAAATACTTTAACAACAATGATCCTTATTTTTTTAATTTAATAATTACTTTAGTAGTTTATTAGCACATTTACATTTAGTAAATTAATGAAAGAAGGTTTGTATTAAAAAGGGATTAGCATTTTTTGAAAATCGTTTGACAATGACTACTGCAATCATTAAAAAAAAGAATAACACTATAATATTGAACATCAAACCATACATTAGCTTTATGTATAACTGAATGTGGTACATTTTTAAAACTAAAAATGTCAAACAATTACTAATAAAAAAAAGGATGTGTCAAATTTTCCTTCTCTTTTGTTTCTAAATTAAAATAAAAATCTGCATCAATCCCTTTAATTGAGGATGATCACTTCTGTTACACCATCTCAGCCTCTGTTAATTCTCTCTTACATGAATTCCGCAAAATCACAACTATGGATAAATATAGAGCAAAAACCTTGATTGATAGTGAAAGTACAAATATAAGTTTCATTGATAATAAGCTAGTAAATTTACTCAATTTAGAAGTTATTTATAAAAAAAAAAAAAAAAAAGTGATTGGAACGACATCAGCTTCTTTGTCAAAAAAATTAGATAATATTATTATGTTTCAATTACTCTTCTCACTAAAATCTATAACAAAGTCAAACTGCTAATACTAAGATTTATGTATAAACATCATTCTCAATACAGTATTGCCATTAAATATGTTAAAAAACATCCACCAACAACCTTTACATCTCTTTACAATAATAAAAACAAGCTTGGAGCAAAATATTTCACTTAAATCAACGGCTGACCGATGGCGGTCCTACGCAATTCCGTATAGACAAAATTAATGATGGTTTAATGTTGGCACCCGAGCTGATCACGATTATTCAAAAACAAAACAGATTTAGTTAGGCCAGCCGACGTAAATCATTACATTAAAACTTACATTGAAATGATGTAATAAGACAGGTAAAATATCAATGAAAAATCGGATTTATCAATTAAAATATAAAACTCAAGTATAAAACAAAATAACATTTTTATAAATAAAGTAATTTAAATTCAATTTTTTTTATCTAACAATTCAGATTGGTTAATCATGCCTTAAATTTTTGTGGGGCGATCGTCGTTGCAGTTAAGTGCAGCATCTAAAAAAAATAAAATTTTAGAATAAACTAAATTTTTATTTTGCACTGCCAAAAGTGGTAGTTTCGAGCTTAATTGGCCTTCTCATGTAACTACCCGATAGAGAAAATTG